TAAAAACATGATTTAATGTTCGCGAAATATAATACGATAATAATACGGTTATAGATGTTGCTACTGGGTATTGTTTCCGGACGGCGTGTCTTAAGAATCATTATATAGATGGAATTTTTATTTATTTAAAACAAATATGTATAAAATTCATTTCTTTTATAAGAATATATACGAATTTAGAAGTGAAGAAATATACAACATAATACAACCACTAAGTATATCTTCTTCTTTTACCTGGCACTTTCCCAGATTTAGCCAGGGTCTGCCTTATATAGTGAATAGTTTTGGCTATTTGTTTTTACGACCGGCCGCTTGCCTGACATCAATCCTCTTTGAGAGTGCATATACAAACAGTAAGTATGGAACAAATAATATTGTGAAACGGGAATGTAATTAGAATAGTAATGTTTAATTAAAACATTTTACTCTAAGTTCATCTTATAATACACAGAAGTACTGTTACGTGTTATTTGTATAGAATCAATCACAGGAGGTGACGTGAACTGTGAGATTGAATTCATACAGTAAACACGACAAAGACTGCTACTTATGATGTGTATTCATTGTGTGTTCAGGCTATAACTATTTATGACAATTACTATGAGAGGACCTAACGGATAAGTCATGAAAAATATTTAGATGAGTATATAAAACGTTCTAAATATAGCAAGAAAAAAGTTTTTATCAAATCAATTAAGATATCACAACGTTTTCGGTCTCGAATTTTTATTCATCTTATCTGAGCAACGCTTAATTATGAATTTAAGTGTTTTTTATATGAGTTTTTATATCATATGATTTAAGTGTTGGAGAATTATTTACGTAAATGCAGTCGATACATGAAATATTGTTGTTATTTTTACTATATGTTGAAAGTATACGAGGTGATTAGTGTGATAATAGAATGGATCGTTAATATATAAGGCGACATATAAGTTAGAAGGAACACATAATACACAATATCAGTCACTACGTTTAATTAATAGCAGTTAAGTGAAATTAAAATACGTGTTTATTACACATAAAAAAATATATAAAATCAATGATTTGTTTCATTATTTTAATTATTCATCTTACATTATTGTAATATTTTTAATATAATAATTCCTGTGTTTTTTTCGATGTAGTTTTCTAAACAATGTCATTATGATTACAGTCCAATAATAATGACCGGCTGTCAACACTAGCATTGACAAATTAGACGGCGTTATACAAACTTATGTTTGCGGTTGATAAACAGTCATCTGTCATACAAGTGTTCGGTGTTTTTAGTATCGACAGGTGCAAATGTAACTTTGTGGTAGCATCAAATTTTGGCCGGTGTGTAATTAGAGATTGACGGACGTATGGGGTCATGCGAACGCCGTGATAGAAATCATCTTTCAGTAATTACACGTATGGTATATTGTATAAGCGGTAGCGTTTTACGATAGATGTCATAATTATCACACAATTCGAAAATATTTGTATACGTTTCTACTACTACAATGATTGAAATGTATAGTGATACGCTCCTCTTATAACTCGAGCCACACTCCGATAGTTTTTGATTGGGTTTAATTAAAATTAATAGTCGTTAAGAGATGTGCTCTGTAATTAATGATGCGTAGTGATGCTACTTAGGGGTGAAGTATAGAAACGAATTAGACGATAGATGTTGACGACGTCTTACATTCATTATAGAACCGTTCTAACATTGTTTATTAAAGGACGTCCAATTGTTTAATATCTATCCAATCCCATATATTTGACTCAATATTTGTGAGCGATGGTTCATCCTACATTGGTTCAGTTTGGTTACTGCGCCGTTCATCACATTAATACCGGCTAACACATAACTCATAGGGTAAGCTGATAGCGAAATTATGCATTTATTGAAACATTATACAAATTTGGCCTTTAAAGTAAAGTAATATTGCCTATAATGGCATCAATGTTTGATAAATGACTCTTATAGAGTGGAGACATCACGAACTTCCAATAAAATGTAAGTGCTTTCGCGTCGTAAACAAGAATGTCGTTCATGTACTAAGGGAGAGGACACAGTGACTTACAGACACACGGCTCTGTGGGTTACAGGCAGACAGTAAGGCTTTAATATTAATAATTTAATTTAATGAATACGACTTCGGTGACTTAATCCCGAAATCCTTCACAAAAGTATGGAGCAAGTTTGAAGATTCTTTTGATGTAGTTGCTTTTATAAATTTTCTTACATACATAGTCCAATTGAGCCTTCTAACTTTCTATTAATTAATGATAATATATTAATCAATGTAATTATTAGTTTATCTCAGAGTCTGTAACAATCCTTAATCAGACGAGCCAAGAGGACGTCGCATGTTAATCTGTGAGAGCTCACGACCCGCCCCAATAAAGTTGTATCGTTCCGTACTGCTGTACCAGAAATGTTAGAGACTTTCCAGGACCACGGAAATATAATCATATATATATATATCTTATATCTTTATATATATAATTCCTCTGTGAGTGTGTATATCACTGAACTTCTCTCAAACGACTGGACCGATTTTGAAAAATTTTTTTTGTGTGTGTTCAAGGGGATCTTGGAATTGTTTAGATTCACAATTTTGTCCGCTGGACAATGTTTTTTTAATTAATTTTTAATTTATTAGTAGTTGTTGATACAAACGTTTTTTTTTGATATTAGATTTGACAACTAACTAATATGTCAATCATTCTGTCGCACTTGAAAACACGGAGATTATGGCGCTAATAGGTAAACTCCAAAAATATAATTAAAAAAAGGTAACAGATATTTCTTGATTATAGGGCGATACGAAGTTCGCCGGGTCTTCTAGTATATATATATATAGCTTGCGAAATATCTGTCTTTATGTCCTTGTACCGAAATTCATCTCTTACTGAATAAATAAATACATTTATATTTATACAAAATCCTATTTATTATATTTAAATTTGTACGTAATGATGATGATACAAGCATTATCCCGCGGCTCTCCTCGTCTTATGTAATACGAATTTGCTAAATGTTTTAATTCCGTATAAGAAGCTTATCATAATAATGTAAATTTACATTTATGTGTAATGACTATTGCTTGTGTTTGAAATCTGATATGTGATGTTGACGAAATAAAAGTAGAATTACATATAAAAATATAAATAAATATATTTCTTTTTTCTTAGTTTAAAGGAAAGTTATATTTAAATTATTTTAATATGAATATGAAAATAAAAAATTGTGTTTAATATATGTTTTTTTCCTCTTGTTATATGTTTATTTGTTAATGTTAAAGATTCCGGCGGCATCGGATAATAAACTAATATTTAAAAAATAAAAAAAAATATTATAACTACATACTGAATTGTCTTCAATATATACAATAATATACTACAAGAAAACAGCTAAAGTTTCATCATTACATATTATTTCTGTAATTTTATATCTTGTTATAAAAATTATTACTTTTCAGGAAATGAAATTATTCCATACAGTGAAAGGGATTTAATTCTTTATACATATACGGTAAGTGAATTTAAGTGGCGCTTACTTTAGAATTAAGTTCCTTATAAAATGAAATACTATATAAAAGTAGTTTAAGAATTAAATTTACTTACAATTACAATATATTGTAATAAATATTACAATTTTGTAAAATTTAAAATATGTGACTACTTATTATATAGGCAAGAATTTTTTTGATTATGTATTTTAAACTTCTATGTTATTTCTATATATGTATTATAAGTATATATAGTTGGTATATGTTATAAGTAACATATAATATATAATAGTCATAGTGAACAATCGTCATTGTTTTTGTTCCACGCTAGTATCTAAACACGAATGTGACTATTTTTTGTGTCCGTGGGAATCTCTCCCACGGGTCATTGTGAACAAAATATTGTTTTGTGCAGTTTTTTATAATATAACGAGCATTATGGTCAATTGTTCAATTGATTCCAAGTGGGTCATAGAGTCGCCAGCCATTATGATTATTACGTGCTTCGTTTTATCGTAACTCAGATGACTCTACAATTAATAATGAATGAATTTAATTGTTAATTATAGATTAGATTGTATTATTAATTTTATTTAAATTATAATAATATTAATGTTTATAATCTCGTGCAATATCTTAGTCTCTAACAAAATATTTTGACAAACCTTCCATTAATAACTATTTAAGTATCCATATTATATAAAAACTAAATAGGAATTTACGAAATACATTCCTTAAAATATAATTTCAGGATTAAAGTAAAAATAATCTTCTAAATAGGCTTAAACGTAATACGTTATTATTTAGAGCTGAGCGAATAAAGATTTGTGGAATTATGATGAAGCGCGTTTAAGTCTTTCAAAGGGAACTCGAAGTAATCCCTACAATTATAATAAATTTATGAGTATGACGTCAAAAAAATTAAAATAAATATTTTTAAACTATTATTATATGAAATAATTAGTTATTTCGTTGTTGCTTTTCTTATAGTTTTTTAAGGATATGAATATTTATAATATTTATTCAGCGTTTATTAAAAAATATATAACAATTATATGTAGCGATAAAAATAAAAGATGTTTAAACCGACTCTACCTTATGAATATTATCTTTGAAATTTAAACTATGACGTTGTTACATAAAATTATATTTTTGCATCCAAAAAATTAATTTAAATAATATTAGTTGCGATACATTTTACTGAAAATATTTCAAGTATAATATTTAAAAAATATTTTTGAAAAAAATAAGAGTCATGCGTTTTATGAATAACAAATTATTTTATACACTTAATATATATTTTTTTCGTTTATAAGAAATTTTTAAATACATGATAAATCTACTCAGTTTAAATTATATTCTTATAATAATATTAATATATATATGTAAGGGGGACCCACCTCGTTATCTTTGGTGACACAGCCTTATAATCCCAATCACTTCACAAGTCCTGAGCACTGAGTCTGTTCAGTCACTTTCCTTCGTTCATTACAAACATCTCACTCTCTATACAACATGCGCGTCGTACTTCCGGCGGATGTAGAGTCGGATGTGTTCTCTGAACACGTGTTCCTGCGGCTGCGCGCGCGCACGAATGCCCCAAGAGGTGGATATAGAGGCTTCATCAGCGGTGGGCGTGGCCTGATTCTAACGCAACCTCGCCGTGCATCTATCTCTTTCGCACTCTCACAGCTCCACATATATCCGTCTCTCTCTCTAACGCGTATACATTCATAGTGGGAACTTCGATTGATGCGACGAGCTTAATGTTGCAGTGTCAGATGATCTGAACAATATATATTGATTAAATATATTATTAATATTAAATATATAGAGTATAAGAACTGAAATTAAACATATACATATATACATAGGTGCTATATATAAGTTTTTTTTAAATTTTTATCAAAGTTCTTGTAGAGAAGTAGAGGCAGGATTCGTCGTAAATACAATGTTATAGGAAATTTATCGATTTTTTGTTTTTGTTTAAGTGTCCTTAAATTAAAAATATTGCAATATGATCACTTGAAAAACATTTTTTTTTAAATAATAATATGTTTATCATAATTCATACAAGTGATAATTTACAAATATAACTAAAATAGATATTATATAATAATAATATGTATAAGTAATAAATAATAGTACACTCACATATAAAAACTAAGGTATATAGAAGTTGTAGATATGAATAAGTTTTTTGCTAAATTACTTACTAAACCGATTTTCATGGAATTCTTTTATTGACGTAGCGAAAGATATAAAAGAAAAACATATTTTTCTTCCATAAGTTTGTTTTTGAGACTGATATTAATATAAATGATACCTTAATATAAGAAGAGAAAAATCAAGAAAAGATAATGTCTCACGCTTTGATCGGTTAAGTTAAATTTTACTGTCACTATAATTCTATTTAAAATCTGCTAAATAAAATATAATCTAAATATAAAAAAAGCATAACATTTTCTCGATATATTTTATAAATTATTAAAAAATCTAGAAAAATTATTATTAAAGTAGAAATCTTATAAACCATATTATATGTAATTAATGCAATTTCATTTTTAACTTTAAAAAATGTAGAGCTAAAATTAAAATTAAATTTAAAAAAAACACAACTGGAAGGTAATAGTTCGGAAGTTGAAAAAGGTTTTGACCCTGATCGTGTAGAATTGTAGATGAATTGTTCATTCCATATATTATAATAAATTTTTTAATATAATTCAATACAATAAATGATTTTAAAATTAAATTACTAAAATTGTCCTCAGTTATTAAGAAGGTGCTATGAAAGCTTTCACTTGTAATCATTATTATATATCTTTATTGAAACGTAACGGAATAATAACGATTAGAACTTTTAAAAAAATCTTTAAAAAGTTCAACCATCAACTAACAGTAAAACAACGGTACAATAGATAATTTGCGAAAACGTGCAAAAAAATACCCAAAAAGAAAGCTAATAAAAATATCTAAAACACTAAAACAATTGCAACCCTTGTGCAATTTGCAAGTAACGGAACAAAAAATTGCACAAACAAAAAACATCATTTAACGTAAAAACGGTAAAGTTTAATAGTTTTATTACTTTGAAGGGTTCGTGTGACGTCACGAGGTGTTTCCGTTAGGTAGAGTTTAGGAATTGCAGTTTATTGCACATATTAAATATTTAGTTATTTCAATACATATTAGAACTCTATCATAGTAGAGTCCATGATAAATATTAAAAGAACTCTATCATAGTAGAATCCATGTTGACATATAAAAGACATCAACGCGCTATCAATTTGTTCCCTCGCCGTAGATTAATCCATACAACAGTTATAAATCTAAATAACTTATATTCTATAACGTGAATAAGATACGTCCCGTAAATATAAATGATGGTCAAAGGAAGGCACTACTAATAGACATTTTTATATATAAATCTATTAGAGAATAAATCACCGGTGAGATTAGATCTGGAACGTCTTAATTTAACAATAAATTTATTAGTATGTTTGTAGTTTATTTCCGTGGACTGTGGGGAGGCTGAAGGAACACATCGTACAAGATAGCAGTGGCCGTGTATTGAGTAAGAGCCCTTAAATATTTATCGGTTTATTTTTAACTGTTAAGGTTAATTTGGTTTTAATTGGTACAGGTTCCGTATGTATTTTAGTACACCTTATAATGACAATATATAATTATTAATATTTGTTTAATAATTATATTAATTAATGCTTCGTATATTAGAATATTTATCTATATAAAAAATAGCCATAGAAAGTTTGATATTATATTTCATTTATATATATAGTATATAAAAAATTAATATATATAAAGTAAAATATAAAAGGTTTCATCCAACATATAACCAAATCTATTGAACCACAAGTCTGCCTCTTTGTTGTATAAACCCATCCCTCACTATCAGTACGTTTAAGTTCTGTTAATCCGATACAATACTTTAGGGAACCTGCCTCGATTTATGTATGAGATGTTTGATTAATACTACACATACACATACGATAAACAACTCTATACACAAAGGAATAGAGTTGAATTCAGAATGCTACAACGATTGACTGAGGCTTGAATAAAAGTACATTGACCTCTAGGAAAAAAATATTATGTCACTCTGTTTACTTTATAACGGATTTAATTATGAATATAAATTAATACAGATGAAAAATAAATTCTAGCAAAATATAAAAAAAAGAGAATTAAAAATAAACAGATAATATGTAATAAAAATATATTACCACGTGCGCCAGTTACAATACGAATAAAACATAAAAGTAATTATGTATATAGAATTATTTATGGATTGAGCAAAAAGTATTAAAGCAGACAACATTTTAATGTAATGCAAAAATAATTTTAAGAACCAAAATAGAATTAAAGTGAAAAGATTATAATTATTATTTAGCGGACTAGTTGTTGCTAACCATTGAAGGAATAATTTAAGAAATACTGTTATTTGTTTCAATAAGTCGTTAATCCCTTAATAAAGGTAGGAAGGTTTACTTAAAATACAAATATTATTTGGAGAAAATATTATTAAGAAGGAATAAGTCTACTGATACTTGTTTAAATATCTACAAAAACAAATAAATCGAAATAATATTGGTGCCACTCATATGCACATATTCACACGCGGAATAAACAGGAATAGAAACTCAAATCACAAATACATTATCGGCTTATGGATTGTAATATTACGAAATAAATACTACACAATACTATAAACTAATTGGTATGCATCCGAGAATGAACCGGCGACCCCGCGCTCACCTCCATTACCGCGGACACCAAGTAATACAGACTTATTAAAACAGCAAATATATTAGATGAACCGTTATCATACTTTAGGTTTAGGAAGGATTTACTTGGAAAGGATCCTTACTGAGAATCATTGAAAGAATTAAAACAACACAGACTTACTCCTAATACCAGATTAAGTTTCTATGTATCTCATAACAAAACTCAATAATCAGTAAAAAATTAATCGCACGAATGCTTATTTTATCATGCACCATTAAATTAACATATAAATTAATATAAGCGATATATTACTGTGATATTAATTAAGAGACCGTTCGTTTTAATTATCGGAATATTCATAAAACACACAATCTAGATGAACTTTAAAATGTATCATATGTGTAAACAGATAGACAGACATCATTATAAAATTCAACTAATTATATTCAAAAACTAGAAACTAGTGGTTCGAATGGGTCTTTAACCTGGCTCAGATAATATACATAAAAAAATCAGATCACAATAATATTAATAAATTGACAAAAGAAAGCTATATTCTTCATGCGAATTCCCTAAACATCTGCGTGTTAAAAACTGAATGACGAATGTATTGATATAAATAATACGTCCTTTTAATTGCAAGTGAAGCTGATCCATCCTTTATACATCCCGACTGATCCTGGCTCCTCTGAAATATTTTGATACAATCTATCAGATGGATGTCGTCGATTTATCAGGGCCAGCCAGTGAATGTACCGTACAGACGATCAACTCCTGATAAAACACCTTTCATATTTATAACACGTTATTATATAATATCTATGTTTGATTTTTACTATTGATTGTTTAATTTTGCTTCTAATGGGGGGGCCGTTAGTTATATATATTGATACGACTGTTCTTCTGTTCTCACGTTATTAATAAATGTCTCAAATCAATTTGATTATTTTTATGTTTTTCGGAGATTCTTCTTCTTCTACCTGGCAATTTCTCAGCTTTAGCCAGGGTCTGCCTTACATCATACATGTTTTTTTTTTTTAAATAGTTTTGGCTAATTGTTTTTACGACCGGCCGCCTGCCTGACATCGACCCTCTTTTGGGAATGTATTAATCAGTGAAGTCTAAATATTCTTAAAAAGTACATATGACTCGGGAAAAATCACATTGGTACTTGCCTGGGTCAGGATCGAACCCGCGCCCTCGTGCATGAGAGGTGGGCCTCTTAACCACTAGGTCACCACTGACACTGTTTTTCGGAGATTATATTTAATTAATTATATTTCATTGATTGCAATATATTTGTAATATATTTTTTATATAATGCGTCATTGAAATTAAAGTACCAATTACAATAATAGAAGTTGAATAAGAATTATTATGAAATAGTTTAAGTGTTTTTTTTTGTGAATTAAACCGAGATTTTATACTGACTGTGATGTTTTTTTTTCTAATGTATGGATTAAGATTACCAAATAAATGTAACAATACCTGATTACTCCACATTATCTGAAGCATATTCGTTACAATTACTGTTGGTCGGAGGTCAAAGGTCACGACCAATTAACTAATTATAATTTCGCTTTGTGATAAAGTTGACGTAAGTAATAAGGTCAAGTTTAATAGGTTAATTGTTTATTGTTCTAGAGTATGTTATACAGAGATATAGTAGGAACGATTATTATATGAAAGATAGGAAGTGTGAGCTAGGTGTTATATAAGGAAAATTAATAGTACATATAGAAAAGAACTAGTTTATACCAGATTATTATTAAAAACTTATTTTTTGAAAACTTATTTTATGAGACGTTCCTAAAAATTGAAAAAGATTCATATCTAAGCAACGGTCATTTACAAAGTACAATATAAAATTAAAATATCTTTGAACTTACTCTATTCACAGATCAGAGGTTCTAACAATCGCCGGGAGTACAATGGTATAGCTCGGAATACGGTCTTCAGCAAACAGCTAACGAGATAGGATACTACATATA